TCACTGGAGTGCCCAAAAGCACAAGGTGTGCAATACTCAGAGACATGGCCAAGGTAAGAAAGGCTGAAAGACGACCACCACTGAACAAGACACACAAGCTGAAACGTCAAGACTGGGCCAAGAAATATCTCAAGACTGATTTTTCTAAGGTTTTATGGACTGATGAAATGAGAGTGAGTCTTGATGGGCCAGATGGATGGGCCCGTGGCTGGATTGGTAAAGGGCAGAGAGCTCCAGTCCGACTCAGACGCCAGCAAGGTGGAGGTGGAGTACTGGTTTGGGCTGGTATCATCAAAGATGAGCTTGTGGGGCCTTTTCGGGTTGAGGATGGAGTCAAGCTCAACTCCCAGTCCTACTGCCAGTTCCTGGAAGACACCTTCTTCAAGCAGTGGTACAGGAAGAAGTCTGCATCCTTCAAGAAAAACATGATTTTCATGCAGGACAATGCTCCATCACACGCGTCCAAGTACTCCACAGCGTGGCTGGCAAGAAAGGGTATAAAAGAAGAAAATCTAATGACATGGCCTCCTTGTTCACCTGATCTGAACCCCATTGAGAACCTGTGGTCCATCATCAAATGTGAGATTTACAAGGAGGGAAAACAGTACACCTCTCTGAACAGTGTCTGGGAGGCTGTGGTTGCTGCTGCACGCAATGTTGATGGTGAACAGATCAAAACACTGACAGAATCCATGGATGGCAGGCTTTTGAGTGTCCTTGCAAAGAAAGGTGGCTATATTGGTCACTGATTTGTTTTTGTTTTGTTTTTGAATGTCAGAAATGTATTTTTGTGAATGTTGAGATGTTATATTGGTTTCACTGGTAATAATAAATAATTGAAATGGGTATATATTTGTTTTTTGTTAAGTTGCCTAATAATTATGCACAGTAATAGTCACCTGCACACACAGATATCCCCCTAACATAGCTATAACTAAAAACAAACTAAAAACTACTTCCAAAAATATTCAGCTTTGATATTAATAAGTTTTTTGGGTTCATTGAGAACATGGTTGTTGTTCAATAATAAAATTAATCCTCAAAAATACAACTTGCCTAATAATTCTGCACTCCCTGTATTCTAACGAACAGTACTATTGTTCCTATCTGAGGTCTACTTGGACTGGAGCATGGGCCGAGGTGAGAAGCAGCCGATTACCTGAAACTGTATGCCACTTGCTACTTCACTCAAGAAACCCCGTTGTTTCCTTCCCACTCCACCCCCCCGGACCGGTGCAGCTTATCCCAGTCCCCACTGGCACAGTTAAATTCTGCACTCACAGTTGACTATCCTGTGACCTTTAAAATTGAGTGGTGTGGCCACTATACCCAGTGGTTGATCTGGATTCATATACCCGGGGGTTGATGCGGATCCTGGTAGAGAGAAGGGACTAAGCCTCCAGCATGTCCCAATTGCTTCCCAATATTGGGCATCAGATGATTGGGCACTCTGGATAAAGGTCTACCACTATCATGCGCTTAGTGACCATCTTGTTCTAATGTTCTTATTTGCTTTTGACCTGTTGTCTTATATCTTTATTTTCCTTCATAAGTCTTGCAGTGTTTTTTTTTTGTGTTTTTTTTGTGATGCCCATTCCCAGTAGTAGCTTCTCTATTATGTGTGCAACTCAAACATGTAGCTACCCTAGACATAATTTAGCTACTCACTAATATGTTTAGAATACACCGTCACTAATGCATCCCCAGTTGCACACATTACATATAACATACATATCTAATCACATCTCACTGAATTCCCTCATATAGTTTGATGTAGCTTTAGGAATGTAAATCCTGCTTTTGTTATTTTACTTTAAAAAAAGAAGCTGCTTTCTCTGGAAGTTTCTGCGAATGAGCATTTCTATGTATGTACATCTCACATCCCTCATATTCTGTTCATATGTCCTGTAATATGCAATTGCCTCAGTAAACGAAAGATTGATAAAAAGGCTGCTTACAAAATCATAGTATGATAAAACATAGCATTTATTTCAAACAGCATTCTAGGAATGGTACAAATGGTTAGGACCAAGGATCAAGTCCTAAAGAAAGTGTTGGGAACTCATGGAAATCCCCTCATCCACGTATTTCATTTCTCCTTCTTTACGTACCTATTGTCTGTATCTATAATAGCCTATGTCATAAAATGTGGCACATTTGGACAACCACACTGTTACCACTAGTGCACAATGCTACTGCGTGTAAATTGTATGCAGTACTATGCGGTGTCCTTTATTAGAAATTGTAATGTATAAAACCAGCTTTCACGAAAAAACACTTTGTTTCATGTTAATTTAGACTTCCTCTTGCAAGAAAAAGTTCACCACTTCCTACTGAGCCTTTTTGCAAAACAAACAGCAATAGAAAATACTTTAGCAGTCCAGCCACGCCCCAGCTACACCCAGACACACCCTCACAAAACTGTTCTTTTTGTGGGTGCCTACCCAGATGTTAAGATCCATTCTGTTTAAGAATAAGCATGTGGATACATAAATCCATTCATGTCTTTATGTTTTAGTATAGACCTGATGGAATTTTTTAGGTTTAAAGTGAAATTGTCATTTCAATGGAAAATACACCGTTTAGTAAAGCATTGATAATCACCTAAAATTTGTGTTTCCTTTTATTCATGTGAAGTTCGGATTTATTTTGAATGTATATTTAAGATGTGGAGGAAGTCACAGCACAGTGCAATTCAGTCAAGGCACAACCAGGGCATACAATGCAAATGAGAAGGAGGACGGAAAAATAGTTGTTCTCCTTTCCACTAACTATGTTGAGTGACAGAACATTTGTGATGGTGACTGAAAGGGAGTCAAGATGGTGGCGACCAGTTCCAGAATAGAGGTGAATACAGCAGTGTGGCTTTCTACATTTATCTTTACTATTTCATGCCTCACAATCATGGCCTGATTAACATAGGGGCTGATGGAGCTGCAGCTCCAGGCCCATTGCCTATGGCAGGGATAGGCAACCTTTGGCACCCCAGATGTTGTGAACTACATCTCCCTTGATGTGTTGCCAGCATTGTGGCTGCAAGAGCATTATGGGAGATGTCGTCCTAAACATCTGGAGTGCAGAAGGTTGCCTACCCCTGGCTTATGGAATAGGCCCATTGATTTAAAAAAATCTTATTGATTTTTTTTTTTTTACTACTCTTCACATGCTCAAGTATGGAAACCTAGACAGATGTAGGTGCGGTCTGGCTGACAATGAAATTAGTAAAGATAAATATATAGCTTGGTTATAAAGTTTGTGCTTGGAGATATTTTGGAGATAAACTGGAGGTAATCTGAGGTATACAGGAAGACAAAAAAGGGGGTAAAATTTGTTTGATTTAAAGGGACACTATAGTCACCAAGACCACTTCAGTTCAATGAAGTGGTCTATGTGCCAGGTCCCTCAGGTTTTAACCCTTCAGCTGTCTTCTGGACAGCCACGAGAGGCGCATCTGCGACGCTGGAGGCATATTATGCCTCCATCACGCAGGGCGTCCATAGGAAAGCATTGAGAAATGCTTTCTTATGGACACTTTGAGTGCACGTGGGGCACTTGCAGAGGGAGCTGACGTCGGCGTAGGAGGAGAGGTCACCAGTGCCGAGGGAGCCCGGCGCTGGAAAAAGGTAAGCTGCTGAAGGGGTTTTAACGTTCCACTTTTTTGAGATTTGGATGCTGTCTCATCTGTAGACTGTGGCAAACATAACCTCGCCACGGGCTCCTGGAGGAGCCTGCTTGCCAGCCTCCTGCCTCAGGACTATGGCCCTGCAAGATACACTTTAACAGGCTCTGTTCGTGTGATTTGGGATTATATTGTTCAGCAACCAAGCAACCACACGAACCAGAGACCACCCATGTGCTTGTTAAGCCCAGTTGACACCTTGTAACGAGTTCCACCGCTGTGTTCTAATTGTTCGTTGGGGTGGCCGCAATTCGTATTAACGACCACGAGGTGGCAGCCATCTTGTTCGCATGAACGCAGGCAGCGGTGTTTGGTCTTCGCGTTCATGGAACTGAAATCAGACACTGATACTCCCGAACACCGCTGGACTTCCATAATCACCTGCGTTCGGTTCTATACAACTTAGAAGGACACTGTACGGTGGAATTGTTCCCAGGAACAAGATGAACAAGCTACACATGTTAACTATGGATTCCGTTTGGTATTTTATGCACTTTTATACTCCCAAAAGAGACCAACCATTCGCACTAATTTCATGGAACTATTTTGGGCATAGGACCATTTGTGCAGTCGGTCAAATAATTGACTTCCATGGAAAAACCGAACCACGGAACCGATATGGGTGATTTTTGGATATGTTGGTCACCTGGATCGGGGCTATTTGTGAATGTTACATTTGTGGGGTTTCTATGGATTTTGGGGGTACTTTTGGGATTTTTATAAATGTTATGTTTTTTGTACCTGAGAGATTATGCAGTAGACATTGCTTACCTAGATTTCAGTAAGGCTTTTGACACTGTTGCACATAGAAGGCTTATCAACAAACTGCAATCTTTAAGTTTGGATTCCAATATTGTTGAATGGGTAAAGCAGTGGCTGAGTGACAGGCAAGAGAGGGTTGTAGCCAATGGAGTATGTTAGAAGCATGGTCTAGTTACCATTGGGGTACCTCAGGGATCTGTACTTGGACTCTGTATAATATTTTTATTAGTGATATTGCAGAAGGTCTTGATGGTAAGGTAGATCTTTTTGCTGTTGATACTAAGATATGTAATAGCGTTGATGTTCCAAGAGGGATAAGCCAAATGGCAAATGATTTAGGTAAACTAGAAAAATGGTCATCGTTGTGGTAGCTGACATTTTTTGTGGATAACTGCAAGATAATGCATCTTGGACATAAAAACCCAAGGGCAGAATATTTGATAGAGTCCTAACCTCAACATCTGAGGAATGGGATTTAGGTGTAATTATTTCAGATGACTTAAAGGTAGGCAGACACTGTAGCAGCAGGAAATGCTAACATACTGCTTGGTTGTATAGGGAGAGGTATTAGCAGTAGAAAGAGGGAAGTACTCATGCCATTGTACAGAACACTGGTGAGACCTCACTTGGAGTATTGTACGCAGCAGGGCCGGACTAGGAAAACAATTCGGCCCAGGCATTTTTTAATCCCAGCGGCCCACTGAGATGGCCAGAATGGGTGTGTTTTGTCTTCACCAATGGTAAGCACTCCCCCTCTCAAAGTGAGGATGTTGGTTCAATGCTTTGCCAGGGCAGACCATGAGCAGAGCTCTGCTGAAGAGCTCTAGCATGAGAAAAAGGCCCTGTATTCGTTCTGTGCAGCGCAAGCATTTCTATTAACATGCTTGTGCTGTGTTTGCTTGTAACTTGTCTCTGGTGTCTCAATAAGTGGGAAACCAGGAGACAAAAGGGCCAGGAAAGAGTATTGTGCATGTGTTTGGAGCCTGCTTGTAGGACTGCGTGTATGTAGAGTGAGCTGATTGTGGTGTGGTATTGTGTAAATAGGTCAGTTTCAGTTGAGTTGTGTTTGTGGGGTAATGTGTGACTAGGGGCTATAGAGAGTGAGAGAGTGTATAGGTAGCATAGTGTGTGTAGAGGTTGTAGAGAGTGGGTTTAGGGAATGTAGTATGTGTGTGCTTACAAGGAATCTAGTGTGTACATAGGGAATCCAGAGTTTGTATGTCAGGAATGTAGTGTGTGTGTGAAGAGGATCTATTGTGTGTGAGGGTGCTATGTTCGAGTAAGGGTGCTGTGTGTGAGTGAGGGCGTGTGTCTATATATGTTTGGAGGCAGTGGCGTACTAAGGGGGGGGGGGCGGGGGGGAGGCGGTCCGCCCCGGGTGCCACCAGGATGGTGGGTGCCATGACCAGAGAGCCTCGGGCGGCTGCAGCTTTGCCCAGGCGGTGCGTCCATGAGGGCGGACCGCACCGCCCGGGCGCAACCTGAGGAGAGGGGCTGACAGGAGGAAAGCGCTCAGCGCTCCCTCCTGTCACCTTTCTTTGCTGTAGCATGGCCGAGCCCAGTATAGTCAGCGGGTACAGGGAGCAGCTGTCTCCTGTACCCGGCCGGACTAACAGGAAGTGCACACTCAGTGTGTACTTCCTGTTAGTCCGGCCAGGTACAGGAAACAAAAGCTACCTGTACCCGCAGACTATACAGGGCTCGGCCACGCTACAGCAAAGGTAGGGGGGAGGGGCGGGTGAGAAAGAGAAAGGGGTGAGAAAGAGGAGAAAGGGGGTGAGAGAAGGAGAAAGGGGGTGAGAAAGAAATTAGGAGGGGGTGAGAGAGAAAGGAGGTGTATATTAATTATGGGGTGTATATTAATTATGGGGAGGTGTATTAATTATGGGGGAGTATTAATTATGGGGGTGGTGTATATTAATTATAGGGGTGAATTAATTATAGGGGTGAATTAATTATGGGGGGTGTATTAATTATAGGGGGTGTATTAATTATGGGGGGTGTATTAATTATGGGGGGTGTATTAATTAAGGGGGGAATTAATTATGGGTAGTGCATTAATTAAGGGGGGGTGGATTAATTAAGTGGGGTGTATTAATTAAGGGGGGATGGATTAATTATGGGGGGTGGATTAATTATGGGGGGGAGTGGATTAATTAAGGGTGTGTGTATCAATTAAGGGGGGTGGATTAATTAAGGGTGTGTGGATGAATTAAGTGTGGATTAATTAAGGGGTATGGATTAATTAAGTGGTATGGTTTAATTAAGGAGTGTGGATTAATTAAAGAAAACCTTTAACATTTTTTACAGGTTTTTTTTGGGGGGGGGATCTGCCCCGGGTGCCAAATGCTCTAGGTACGCCCCTGTTTGGAGGTATTGTGTGTGGTGGGGGGGGAGATAGATTAACGTAAATATATATATTTTCATTTTAAATTAAAAGAGCGTACTATCCCCCCACCCTTCTTACCTTTTGCCTGGGAGGGGGGACTGTAATGCCATCCCTGGTGGTCCTAGTGGTTAGTGAACTCTAGCCTGTGGGGGGCTAGAGTTCACTCTTGCAAGATCGGAGCGTTGCCATGGTAACTGTGGTAACGCTCTGACCTCGCGAGAGGAACACGGTGGAGCTGCAAGCCAGAGCTCCTTGGGTCCTTTCCTGTCTCCCTACCCAGCTGGCGGCCGCCTTTCACTGCCTGGGGGCCGGTGAGGGAGATCTTTAATGGCACACAGCAAGGAGATCTTTGATGGCACACAGCTTTGAAGGCACAGAGCAGGGCCGGCGCTCGGATAGCATGGGCCAGCAGGGGAGATCTCTTCATCTCCCCTGTTGGCCTCAGCCCAAGGCCATCGGGGCCCACCAGGCATTTGCCCGATTTGCCTAATGGCCAGTCCAGGCCTGGTACGCAGTACTGGAGTACATATCTCCAGAAGGATATTGATATTTTGGAGAGAGTTCAGAGAATGGCTAGTAAACTGGTTAATGGATTACAGGATAAATCTTACAAGGAAAGGTTAAAGGACCACTATAGTGCCAGGAAAACATACTCGTTTTCCTGGCACTATAATGCCCTGAGGGTGCCCCCACCCTCAGGGACCCCCTCCCGCCCGGCTATGGAAAGGGGAAAGGGGTTAAAACTTTCCAGCGCTGGGCGGGGAGCTCTCTGCCTCCGATCCTCCTCCTGGGCTGAATGCGCACGCGCGGCAAGAGCTGCCACTAGAGGAAATAGGGGAAGGCTTAACCCATTCATAAACATAGCAGTTTCTCTGAAACTGCTATGTTTATAAAAAAATGGGTTAACTCTAGAAGGACCTGGCACCCAGACCACTTCATTAAGCTGAAGTGGTCTGGGTGCCTAGAGTGGTCCTTTAAAGGATCTCAACATGTATAGTGTGGAGGAAAGACAAGACAGGGGGGATATGATAGAAACATTTAAATTCTTTATTTTTATTGTGCTTTGAAAGAAAACATGCAGGCTCGTGGTGCCCCAACAGCAGTCCTCGAGCTTATATTCAGATTTAACAGTTGGTGCATTAAGATTAACGGCACATTTTATATATGTTAGAGTAATGCTGAGTAAATATGTAGATTAGACATTGCGAGTGGCATTAGCAAAAGATGTATTTACAAGAGAGAACTAGACAGGACTGACATAGGTTAATAACATGCTGAGTCAAACATCTTCATAGCAGGCTGATGTGTCTACCTATATATACAGGTATTATGCTTACTAATAGCTGGAGCTCTCTTTGCTATTAAGGCTGTTTTGTGGACCCGAGGGTTGAACATGGTTGAACGCCAAGTTAAATTAAAATGCTGGTTCCCAGCGTTAATAGGAGAGTGGGCCTGGGGGTCAGTGAACGGCAGTGGGGCTGGCTTTGCATGCAGTGTGTATTTACGGCTACGAAGTGGATGTATAGCAGAACGGTGAAAACAATATATGCAACATATATAAATCAGGGAACACTTTTTTTGTTCACCATGAATGAAGTCCCCTGCCATCTGCGATTAGAGATAACCACGGTGAAGGTAGAGTCAATAAGTGTCCCAGTGTAGTCCGGAGCAGGCCTTTGGTAATCCTCTAGCCAATGCCCGTTCTCAGGGCCCGCAGCCTAGTCGTTGGGGTTCGCTTGCTGCGATGGTGTAGCCAGCTGCTCCGAGCAATGATGGAGGTCTTTGCTCTGACGAGGTCCGGGCCCCACTTAGGTGGAGTGTGCCTGCTAGCGTGAGGGAGTCTGTGTGGAGGGGTTGCCTCCGGGGCTTGCCCGGGTGAGGGTCTGCTTCTTGACGGCGTCGGCTGGTGAGTTGCGATGTGGTCTGCCTGGGAACCCGTGGCCATGTCCGGTCCTTAATTGACATAGTGTGCCACTGCTGTCTCTCAGGTAGGGTCAGTTTCGCCAGGCATACGGGTTGCTGGGTTGCCTCCATCAACAGTACAGGTCGTATGGGCTTACAGGCTCTTCTGTTCTTGCAGGCTTTGTGTACATGAGGCGGCATGTGCGCGCACCGGGGGTTCGCCGGCACCATGGTGGCAATTTTGTGTGCCTTGGCTTGTTGCTCCCGGATTGCTATCTTCCTCCAGAACTTAGCGAAAAGCTCATCCAGCTTGGCCTCAAGGTCAGGTTTACCCCTTCCTCGAACACACGGAGTGGCAGCCATTTTGCTTGGTCGCGCTGCTTCTCGCTGCTTGCTAGGTTCTAACCTCGGGTCCTGGGCAGGGAGGCTGCCCCTCAGGGCTGGACCGGGATGACCCCCGCCGGTCCAGGGGGGGGAGCAGGGCATCAGTGGATCTGTACCTGTAACGCTTGGGCGGGGAGAGCGGCCATCTCTCCCCGTTCCCGCCATCAGTAGGCCGCTGCTATCCACCTTGGGTTCCCGATCACCCAGCCGCTCGGTACAGATATCGGACTGATCACCGGGTTACACCTGACCTAGTCAGTGTACCCTGGATTGCTTAGTTTCTCAATTTTGGCGAGGGTCTGTACAAAAACGGCCTGTAGAGCAGGAGCCCAGCTTCCATGCGTCTGCTCAGCTTGCTGGCTTGGCCCCGCCCCATGATAGAAACATTTAAATACATAAATACAACACAGTAAAGAAGGAGACTATATTTAAAAGAAGAAAAAAGTACAAGAACAGGACAGTCTTAAATTAGAGGGACAAAGGTTTAAAAATATCAGGAACTATTACTTTACTGAGAGTGTAGTGGATGCATGGAACAGCCTTCCACCTGAAGTGGTAGAGGTTAACACAGTGAAGGAGTTTAGGCATGCGTTGGATAGGCATAAGGCTATCCTAGCTATAAGATAAGGCCAGGGACTAATGAGTGTAGATGGGCCAAATGGTTCTAATCTGCCGTCAAATTCCATGTTTCTAAAGCTGGCTTTGTGCACTATGCAAATGCTCTTGCTGCTTCAGTCTCTCTAATACTGTGGCATGTTCCCTTTCTTCTACACTCACTACATACACTTTTTCTCTGTCCCAGACTGTATAACAGCAGCTTCTGCGTGCTAGTAAGAATATTAGGAGAGGAGTGGACCAGTGAGTGCTAGGGGACAGTCCTTAGAAAGCGTAGAGCTAGCGCATCATTATGTCAAGCTCAGAGTGCTGTCTGCACAGTATGCCTTTGGTTGGTCATCCTGTATGATTGGCAGGCAGCCTAACGAGCATTCATGCCAGGCTGACAATCTAATTCTTTGGGCAGACAAGTCCCCTTTGTGGGCATGTTTGTATCTTTGGGCGGTTCTGGTTACGTGATTCACATCAGTGGCCCAACCTTTTATCCCGCCCTTCGAAATCCTGTTACCCTCGACACTGCTGTTAGAGGGTATGGATTTACTTGAATGATGAAAGTGAGAGATTAGCATAGAGTATGTGTTCTCTGATAT